GGGGGGGGGGGGTGGCGGGGAAGAAAGGTGGGGGCCCCGGAGAGTGCAGTGAAGTGAAGAATACAGCTGCCTCCTGGAACCCTTGCTGGTGGGATCAGCACAGAAACCCAGACCGGTGATCTTAATTTCCCCATTCCCTCTACCTCCCTCTTTTCCCTTTCCCATTAAGAAATGCAAGGCATATTGTATTGCTTGACACAACTTGCTATGTACTTAGCCAATTATCATGTGTTCAGTTAGTACATTGTGGGTAGTTAATAAATGCTTGGACTTGGAGACTTGTTGTCCGTTCCATTGGGGATTTGAGAATCTGAGTCACTTATACTCCCTCTTCTGAGTGGGATGCGACAGACCCCCTGGGAAACTACCCTCAGGGACAAGGGAACAGAACAGAGTTGTTTATCTTTAAGGATGCTTTCCATAGAGTGCCAGACCTCTTGATCCCCAGGTATAAGAAATCAGGGAAGGAAGGTGAGAAACCAGTATGGATGAGTCAAGACCAGCTGGTCAAGGTGAAGGGTAAGAAGGGAATGCACAGGCAGTGGAAGCAGCGACAGGTATCCTGTGAGAGTATAGGGATGCTGGCCAGTTGTGTAGGGATGGGGTCAGGAAGACCAAAGTGTGGCTAGAGCTGAACGTGGCAAGGGATGCAAAGAATAATAAGGGCTTCTGTGGGTATGTCAGCCAGGAAAAGGTCAAAAAAAATGTACCCACTCCAGTGAACACAACTGGCAAACTGGTAACAATGGATGAGGAGAAGGCTAAGGTACTCAACAACTTCTTTGCCTTAGTCTTCCCTGGCAACCTTACTTCCCACACCTCTTTGAGTGGATGGACTGCAAGACAGGGACTGGGGGAGCAAAATCGCTCCCCACTGTGAGGAAGATCAGGTTTGTAACTAACTGAGGAACCTGAATGTACATAGTACATAAGTCTACAGGACCTGACAAGATGCATCCCAGAGTCCTGAGGGAATTGGCAGATGTAGTTGCCAAGCCACTCTCCGTGATATTTGAAAAGTCATGGCAGTCAAGTGAATTCCTCAGTGACTGGAAAAAGGGAAACATTGCACCTGTTTTTAAAAAGGGCAGAAAGGAGACCTGTCAGCCTCACCTCTGTACATGGGAAGATCATGGAACAGATCCTCCTAGAAGCTGTGCTGAGACACATGGGGGACAGGGAGGTGACTCGAGACAGCCAGCATGGCTTCACCAAGGGCAAGTTCTGCCTGACCAACCTAGTGGCCTTCTGTGATGGAGTGACTACATCAGTGGACAAGGGAAGAGCTACAGATGTCATCTATCTGGACTTCTGTAAGGCCTTTGACACAGTCCCCCACAACTCCTTCTCTCTAAATTGGAGAGAGATGAATTTGATGGGTGGACTGTTCAGTGGATGAGGAATTGGTTGGATGGTTGCATTGAGAAGGTAGTGGTTAAGAGCTCAATGTCTGACTAGAGATCAGTGACAAATGGTGTCATTCAGGGGTCAGTACTGGGACCAGTACTTCATCATTGTTGATGATGTAGTTGTGCTTTGTCAGTGACATAGACAGTGGGATCAAGCGCATCCTCAGCAAGTTTGCAGACAACACCAAGCTGAGTGGTGCAGTTGACACACCCGAGGAACAGGATGACATCCAGAGGGACCTGGACAAGCTTGAGAAGTGGCTCCATGTGAACCTCATGAGGTTCAACAAGGCCAAGTGCAAGGTCCTGCATCTGGGTCAGGGTAACCCCCAGAATCAATACAGGCTGGGGGATGAAGGAATTAAGAGCAGCCTGTGGAGAAGGACTTGGAGGTGCCAGTGGGTGAAAAGCTGGACGTAAGTCAGCAATGTGTGCTCACAGCCCAGAAAACTAACCATGTCCTGGGCTGCATCAAGAGAAGTGTGGGCAGCAGGTCGAGGTTTAGAGTCATGGCAGCAAATTTGAAGCCAGAGTTAAAACAGACTACTGTAAATGACATGCAAAACATTTATACCGATATATCTGAAGATAGCACGAGCTGCACTGGACACCTCAAGCAAATGCAGAAGCACTGTTAGCACATGAATTTTTAGCAGCTACTAATGGAGAAAGTGTTTCTGGAAGTCCTTATAATTCCACCAGTGGTGTACTAAGCACCACTGAACAAGGGCTCTACAGCCAGAGAAAGGGGGGAGAATCCTGCTTAATGGACAATAAAGTGCTGAAGGATGTTACCTTGCAACTGAAAAGGCTAGTAGTTTAGAGATAAAGCCTATAGCTTTACAACTCTATGAAAAGGACACAATTCATATTAGACTAAAGAAATAGTATCTTCAGGAGACCAACTCAAAAGCAGATTTGTATTTTGGAGTTAATGCAGACAGAAAGTCTCTTTACTCATTTCAGACTGCGGAAAATATGCAGAAAGAAACCATCCAGAAAACAAGTGCCACATTTTATTTGAAAATAATTATGAGTTTGTTGTAAGCATTCTGTGTATTTTATTAAAACCAAACAGCTTTTGTTCTCCAGAGAATGTATTTTGCCTTAATAAATAGTGGACACATGGAATGTGTTGTAGTACAGTCCACTATGGCAGATTAACAAATTAGTAACTTTTGCTTTGTATTTTTGGGGGCTGTTTTTTATCCAAGTCCCTGTTGTATTTACCAAAATGGTCACGATGGTCATTACAATAATTAGAATGAAATTTTTAAGTACCTTATTTTTTTTAATACCAAAGGATTGATAAACATCATATTTTCACAAAAGAATCTTTGAATTGTTTTGGATTCAATCTCAGTACATTAATGTACAGTGAATAGTGGATAAAAGATTTATTATGTTGAAGTGTTTTCAAAAATTGAATAAGTTACTGCAGGCATTTTTTAATCTAGGCTATGTAGTCATTTTGACATACATTTTATTATCAATTGTAATTTCTGAAATTATTGAGTATTATGCCTCTTAAGTCCTCTTGTTAAAACAGCAGATGAAGGAGTGTTTGGTGGAGGAGGTGGAACAGAAGGCACTGAAAAAAATGGAGAAGAAGGAGATGCAAAGTCCAGTGTGCTTTCACAGTTTACCGAAACAGAATACATCCAAACAGAAGGAGTAAGATTAGACTCTCAGGAGCTAAGCCAAAAAGCAGCCTCATGTTCCAGTAGCAACAAAATCAAGCTTTCATCTAATCAGTCACAATTCAGTCAAGCAACAGAACAGCAAACGTCCAAGAAATCAGGTGAAAAGTTAATAATACTTTATAAAAACCACAGGGCTTTTTTACAGGCTTTTTATAGTACATGAGAGAAAGTTTGGAAAAATATAGATAGCATATTCAGCAAAAACTCTAGTGAGTTTCAAGTACTTGAAATATTTCTAGCACTCCTGTACTGCATTTTACAGAATGCACATAATTACTCTTTTTTGTATGTGTTACATTCAGCAGTCTTTTAGCATTGTGGTCGAGGGGATGCAGGATCATAACTGAGAGCTTAAAATAACATTAAATTGATCCTTAATTAGCTATGTTATTAACACTAAATTGATCCTCAGTTAACCATTTTAAGTATCACAGATCAAAGAAGAAAACTGGCTCTCCATATATTTTGCATACATATATCCACTTATCTTTTGTAGACTATACCCTTGCCAGGCACAAATCAGCATAGGCTCTGATTGTACTGGTACATTTGAATTTAGCTGTACTATAGAAACAAATCTACTTACATGACAATAAGGAGCTAGTGTCTTCCAGTAGTTATATTCTTTTCTGCCTGTGTGTACAGCCTTCTGTCTAGCAGTTTATCCCATGTCTAAGACTTATGTTTGTCTTGTAACCTTACCATTACAACTGATTACTCATCATAACCCTCAAGTATTTTTCACTTGCTGCTTTTTTGGTAAAGCTGTCAGTTATCTTTTGTACTTTGTTGTTTTTTTGTGTGGAACCAGAGAACAATAGCACTCAGGAATTACTAAAAGCAACGCCTGTTGTTTGAATGAGATCCCTCCTCTCTTAAAACTTCTAAATATAATATATCTGGACTGCTGATTCAAAAATATTTATCCTCAGATCATTTGACATTCTTCTTAACTTGTGTTGAAATTAAAAGAATTGTGTCATTAAATGATAGGAATTTCTTGTGTAGCTTTGCCTTGATACGGAATAGAGTATTTGTCTTTTCTGATTATCGTAGACAATTCTGCCATTTCTCTCTAGCAAGTGTTTGGGAATTATTTTTTCTGGTTTTAATAGATTGTAAAATACTGCCTTCTTAGGACCTTAGCTGTCTGTGTCTGTCTCTTTGTATTCTTTTGTTTACCACAGCAGTTTCCACAACTCATTATTTGTATTTGCTACCATTCACTTCCCATTTTTTCATTTCTCATTTACTGTTGCTCTCTTCCCTTCCTAAGCCAGGCTAGTTTTTGAATCAGTGCAGCTTTTCATCTTGAGTATGCAATATGTTGTGAAATACTTCCTAGCTATTATTCATATTTTTCTGATGATTTTTTTTGTTCAAACTGGTTTTTATTTATAATTGCTTCCAGCTCTGTGAAAGTTACGCTTTCAAATAACTACCGTGTCAGTGTAAATGTATGTCTTGTATATACATACATAAGAAAAGGTGTTTTTTATATGCATAAGTTTATAGACATATGTGTGAATGCATGTGTATTTGTGTGTGGATATAACATATGATTTATGTTTTCCAAGTGTATACAGCAAAAAAATGTAGTTTCCTCCTTGGACTGAAGTTATGCATTGCTGGGGTCTGTTGGTCAAACTTCAGTTGCGTATGAGTGGGATATAAATGAATGCTAGCATTAAGTATATCATATATGTTTTGAAAATTGAATGAGATTCATGCTGGTATATCCATTAATGCTTTTAAAACTGGTGTACGTAACAGTGCGTATACGTAATTTGTATAATAAATATGCACACACCCCCATACAGGCACACACAATATGGACAAATACATCTGCACACATATTATCAACTACTGCACACATATTATTAACTACTCATTTGTTTACCTCTTGTTTGCTTAGTACCGTCCTTTTCTTAGGGGAGTTCGGATGGTCACTAGTCTTTTAGGTTGAATTAAGGAGTCATCAGCCAATCCCTGCAATGCCCTGTAACACATGACAAAACCAGGAAACTGTGAAGTTCTTGCTGATCCTGTTCTCTTTGATAATCACAGTCTTCTTGTGCTCTTCTGTCTTCAGCTGTACAGAATACTGCTTCCTCGTCTTATCACAGTTGGTTGCTAGTTTTCAACCCATCTTAAGTTTCTGCTCTGTTATGTTTCTGGACTGCAAGCTTGTGTTTTCTTTCGGAATTTGAAAGGAGAAGGAAAGGAGTAGGTGCTTCTTGTTACTTACTGCTCTCCAGTATTTGGCAGTGTCAGTACTTAGCTTTCATATCTCCAAACAGATTCCTTCAGTTGTAGGAATGCTTTTTTACATCATTCTGGGAAAAAATCCATGGCCTATCTGATACATGTCATCATCCACTGCTAATTATTGGAAGAATAAACATTGAACGCGGAAACTATTCCTTCCCCTAGAGTTGTTCTTTTTGTAGCTCCTGTATTCCTGCTCAGTCTTTATAAGTGTGCATTAACATGTTTTTTGGATTCTTTTCCTTTATATCTTGTTTCCTATGTATACAATTATGATTTTTTAAAAACTTTATTCCAAACATGTGTCTTAAATTTGGTGTCCTCTGGAATAGCATTTCACAGATTACTTTTGCACCCAAAAGAGATTCTTCAGGTATTATTTTGTTCAGCTAAAATGTAATTATTTCCTTCATCCAAGGAGAATGTTGCTGTTTAAGAGGTGATGCAAGAAAGTAACACCTTCATACAGTTGAAGGCATTAATGTCTTTGGAGACAGGGGCAACGGCACTTCAGATTGCAGCAGAAAAGTGGAAGATGGGATAACATTTTCTGACTTGTGGGGTTTTCAGATTTTTTGCTGTCTCATGCCTTTTCTTCATTAACTGGCTTTTGTATCTCATCTGATTGTTCCTGTGTCCCAGCAACCTTCCTTATATTATTCTCTTCTTGCATAAAAATCTTTTCTTCCTAAATCATGCAGTGTCACTTTTATCTACAGTCAGGCACTTACTAGGCTCTCAACATTCCTATTCTGCTTATACAGAAGTAAGGTACAAACAGCTTGCTTCTTTTCTCATAGTTCAATCTGTGGAAAGAATTACTCATAGACCAGTGCTGAAGGATTCAAATGTCTTTTTGAAGGAGGATATCCTTGAAGTTGTTGAGGTATGGCAGCCTAATGTAGTCTGATTTCTGGTTACAGTAATCTCTCCATTTTATCTTTGTATGTGTGCTGACTGGATTTTGTATTTGCCAAGTTCCTGATCTTTCCTGCTTGTGACCCACCACGAAGAACCAGTATTTTGCGATTCTCATACAAGTGTCCCATTATGCTTTTGCAAATGTTTCCTAACAACCATGAAGAAAACTCTTGTGCATGACAATTTAACTGGAAAACTTTGCAATTATTTCTGTTCACTTGCAGCTGATATTGCTAAGGGTCATTAGCTTAATGGGCTGTTTTGTGCCTTTTTTTTCTCCTATGTCTCTAAGGAGTTCCTAGGACAATTCTCCCATGAATTCGAGGGGAAGAAAAGGAAGAACCAGAAAGCAGATGATTGCTTTGGGAGTTCAGACCCAGAAGCTTTTAGACAAAACAGTACATTATCTCACAGACGAGTAGGTCTCAGATTGGAAGAGTATTTCAATAATATGACCCCTCCATGTGGTCTAAAATCTGGGTGTTCATTTGAAAAAGAAACTCTTTAGCTTTTCTGGTTGCCAGTATGGTGTGTGCCAAGCACCCCAATGCAAAGAAGGGCCGCCTGAATGCTTCCTGACAGGTTAGAATACCCTACAGTGAGTTCCATGCTCCTATAGTCTGACTGCAGCAGTGCCTGAACGAGCTAGTTTAAAGTTCATATGGATATATCCTCACTATATGTCTGTCTTTAATATAGTTGCAGTATGGCTTTCATGTTCTTCCAAACATTTTTGGATGACATGCTCAGTAGTTTACCTTAAGGGAAACCTTGGAAAAGAAGATTTTTCTGGAACGTAGGAGGAGCCTGAAAAAAGGCATTTGTCGAATCATGGAAGATGTTTGATAGCAGTGAATACTGATAACTGAAAATATTTGAGAAGACAGTTTGTCTGATTAGAAGAGGAAATGCTTGGGATGCAACAACTAATTTTTCAAAGGAATAATTAAAAAACATAAATAAGAGTTGCAAAATGCTTATTTGAAACCTTACACTTTCATACTTTTTTGACGATTTTGGACAGATTTTCAAGAAATCAGAGCAAGAACACACTGAACTCTTAAAAAAAACTGATAACACTGTATATAACAGCAGGGACAGGAGTTTAAAAAACCACCTAACATGCATGCTAGAGCTTTTGAAGATTTAGACACACTGTCTTTTTGGTAGCAGTTTTGGGGAGGGGTTCTATAAGCAGAAGCTTGGGGCTCTATAAGCAGAAGCAGCACTTTCAAAGTCTGCTTTTTTCTTTGTATCTCTTACAGTTTGATATGGATGTTACTTAAAGCCTCAGAATTAGCACCTGTCTGATGATTACATGATAAAATTTGAAGTAGATGTTGTTTGCTTTGTGAACCAATAAGAGAAGGATTAATCAAGTTTATTTACAATTATGGGTCCAATCCTGCACAGTTTTAATTAAAAGGCAGTTCAGCCATGTCACTAGACATTAATCAAAGATTTGTAATCAGTCTACAGGTTTTTCATGTCATAGCTGTAAAACTGCCTTACATAGAAACCTATCTCTTCCCTGATACAGAATTAGGAAAAGAAAAGAGGTGATGGTCAAGTCTTTGCTTTTATATAGTTTATTAAATACGTTTATGTGCATACTGTATGTATTTAGCAGGCATGCCTGATAACTTGTAAGCAGTTCATGGAGAAACATAACATACTCCCTACCTCTCTACAGTCTAAAACTTGAACATTGTTACCTTTCTCGTTGATCCCTAAGTCACTGTACCCTTGGTATCTAGATTTGAACTGTAAATTCTTTTGCATAGGGTCTCCTTGTTATTTGAGCTGTTGGGCAGTACCTTCTAATCTTTTGATGTAGTCAGTTAATGTTATTGAACAATTAAGGCAACAGTACTGCACACATTTACATTAATTCACATGAGTTATGAAACTTAACTCTTTGTTCATAATGAAATATTTTTTTGTGGTTCCTAATGAACACCCAATACTTTATATTTAGAATTCTTCCTGTCTACCAGAAAAGAAGCTCTAATTGGTACCTATAATACAAGATCTGGGAGAAAGAAGAAAAAGAAAAATACAAAAGGGGAAACTCAGCTGCATATTGCTGCTAGGAGAGGAGATCTGTCTTTGGTGAAAACTCTGATATCATCTGGAATTTGTGTTAATGAACAGGACTATGCAGGTTTGAAAATTACTCTCTTATGGGGTTGTTTTACTATACAATCTGTGTAATTTTAATACAATTATGAATTCTTGAATTATGATATAATTGTGAGGAGGGAAGGACGTAATTCAACAAGTGCAAACACAGTCAGTGAATCCCTGGATTTTGTCTCAGCATGGAGCCTTTCTCTCACTGTGGAATGTGGACTTGAAAGTTCGGTAGAAGAACTAATGCTGATGCATGTGAATATATATACGTGTGAAGCATGTTCACACATATCTTATTTCCTTAGGAAATGAGGACAAAAATCGGGTGGCAAGATTATTTTTCTTTTTTCTACACATTTGTAAATCTATAATGCATTTCTGATTTTATAGTCTCAGAATGGATGGTATTCTATTCTGCATGCCTGGCAGACTTGATATTATAAAATGCCAGTGGGATTAGAAATCAGACAATATTATACTTCTGATTTTTTAGAGTCTTTCTATTCTATTTTTTTGTTTCTTTTATTATTTTCAGTAGTGTAGTAGAAAAGTAAACAGCATCTTTCTGCTTAATATTGGATACATTTTTCTCTAAATTGAATTATACAGGAAATAATTTACCTTGGCATTTCAATACAATTGTTTGTATAAGATCTATCTTAAAGAGATTAGTCCATTGCTTATAGTACAGCGAACACAGCAAAATGTATAATCACTAATTAGTGATCTGTGTGGATCTTTTCAAATCAGATGCATCCTGTATCTGTCATCTTGCTTTTATTAGGTTGGACAGCAATTCATGAAGCTTCCTGTGGGGGATTTACTGAAGTGATTTTAGAATTACTGAAAGCTGGTGCTAATGTTAACAGCAGAAGTCTGGATGGTATTTTGCCAATACATGATGCTGTTTCTGGCAATTATTTGGAGGTACATTTTTCTTTTGTGTTAGATTTCCTGAGCCTGATTTCCAGCAGAGGGTCAGCAAAGCAAAATCCTGGTTAAAATAAAGGAAGTCAGAGTTACTGATAGAATTTTAGTGTAGATTTGCATTTAGAAAATAAACCAGTGTTCTTTAAAGTGATCAAAATTAGAAACATTTTTCAGTTGTGACAGTTGAAATTGTACAGTTAATTGACTTTCTCACTTCAGTGGACAAATCAGAAAAATTCAGGAACTCCCCCTGGTTCTGTCCCACATATTGGGCTTTCTAAAAGTAAACCGAAATTGAGCATTTGCAATTGCATCTTGTCCACCTGCCCCTGCTGTGGGCAGGGACATCTTTCACTAAATTAGCTTGCCCAAAGACCCATTCCACCTGGCCTTGAACAGTTTCAGGGAGGGGGCATCCACAACTTCTCTGGGCAACCTGTTCCAGTGTTTCATCATCCTCATTGTAAAACATTTATTTTTTGTAAAGAAAAAAATCCTAGGCCGACTGTTTAAAAATCAACCATTTTATTTCATTAACTGGTCCCTTCCAACCCAAACCACTCTACAGTTTCATAGAATAGAAGAGAATATTTTGGTTGGAAGGAACGTACAATGATCATCTAGTCCCACTGCCAGATCAATTCAGGGCTGACCAAAAGTTAAAGTATATTATTAAGGTCATTGTCCAAAAGCCTGTTAAACACTGACAGACTTGGGGCATTGACCACCTCTCTAGGAAGCCTGTTCCAGTGTTTGACCACTTGGTAAAAAATTGCTTCCTAATGGCTAGCCTAAACCTCCTCTGCTGCAGCTTTGAACCATTCCCACACATCCTGCCACTGGATCCCAGAGAAAATAAATCAGAACCTCCCTCTCCACTTCCCCTCTTCTGGAAGCTACAGAGTGCAATGAGGCTGTCTCTCAGCCTCCTTCTCTCCAAACTAGACAAACCCAGAATCCTGTACTGCTCCTCACAGGACATTCCTTACAGCCCTTTCACCAGTTTTGTTGCTCTCATCTGAAGGCATTCAAGGATCTTCACATCCTTCTTAAATTGTGGGGCTAGCACTGCACACAAATAAATAAAATATTGGTTTGGCACAGTGAGTTCCAGGGAACTGAGCATAAAAAGTAATGCAAGATTGGCTTAAATATACCACTTCTGTTCCCATCAGAAGAGCTGATATTTTATCACATTTATCTTTTCTGTGAGCAAAGATAAAATGAAGGGGATGATTTCATAGGCCTGGTGCCAAACTATCTGTAGGGTTCTTGAAAATGTATAGGCTATTATTTAGTATTGTGGGGGAAAACTGTTGGAGAAGATTCTGAACTTCTAGAGAATATTCTTTTTATACTTTCTAATACTTAACCACACTCTAAATGTAAGAAAGAAGAGGAAATGCTAAACACAAGAAATCATATGTATGAAGATTCTCTACCATCCAAGCTCTGACCACATCAACACTTTGATATGATGTGAATTTTAGGGGGTAGATGATTGCAGTGATGCCACTAATCTCATTTCCATATTTTACAATTAAGCAGATTTGCAAATTAGAAAAAAAAAAAAATCAGTGCATTAACCAAAAAACAAAACTATTCAATACTTAAAGAAAAAAAATCTGCTTCTCTGCACTTTGGTCTTAGTGCAGCTGACCATTTCCTTTTAATGTAGATATATGAAGTTTTGTAATTTCACTCTATTACAATACCATAAAGATGATAAATTTATTGACAGGTCGTGAATTACGTGTGTATTTTAATGGGAAAATTAAATGTGTAAGACCCAAGTCTGTCTTGACGATAGCCAGTTAAACCTGTTTGTTTAATTTGGATTGCAAGTGTAACATGTTTTAGAATATCTTATTTGTACCTTTATTATTTGTGATTTATTATATGTATCCTACACATATAGTTGTATTATAAATCCACAAGAATTATCACAATAAAAAAAATAATATATAATAGGCAGTCAGGATTCTACTACAGCATGGAGCAAATCCCTGTGAGAGAAATGGTTCAGGGAAAAGTGCTTTGGATGAAGCTTGTGATGATGAAATGAGAGAACTGCTGAACTTCTACAGTGCTATGGACTCTGTACTTCCTGTTGAGACTACTGAAGTTACAAGTATGTTGGTTTTGTAATGTAAATCACAGGATTTCCCTGTAGTATTAAGGAAAAACTGTATATCAGAATGCTGCTGATTTGTGGAGCTGCATGTTGCCTGGTACTAATATTTTTAACTCAATTAATAGTAAACTACTGAAATTTATTTATTTATTTATTTGTTTTCAGAAAAATGGAATGCATGAGTTGTTTTGTTTTGTTTTGTTTTCCTGAGAGAATGAGGTATAAGGACTTATTAGGCTCTTCATTTTTGTTTTTTATTATCTATATTTCCCTTTACAGGAACTTTGTGTTCTTGAAAGTGGTAGCTTTAAAGACTTACTTCCTTATGCCACGTAAATTTGGTCTCATTTACATGTAGGAGATACTGTTTTATGATGTGACCTGCCTTTGCATCTTCGTAAACTATATTAGCTAATCTAACCTGTTATATACCTGCAAATTAATTTTAAATTCTGCTTTTCTGTTCTTCATTGTGGAGAGAGAAAACGTCCTTTTAGGTCAAGATCAAAACGTCATTGTTGCAACTACTGTAAAAATGATGCAGCTTTGGAGCCACAAGATGGGAAATACAGTGTGGTAAGTATCGATAATAGAGTTTTGTTAAACAGCTTCATAGTGTAGTACTGTGCAATGTTGTTTACTGAGTGAATAACACAAAAGTATTTAAATAATTAACCCTTTAAAATGTATGTAAAAAACAGCATCATGCAGATGTTTACGGTATATAAGCTGTGGTTTAAAGCGTATGAGTGTGTATATTATCACTTGTCTCTGTTCATGATTCTTGTGCACATACATTTATTGTGCAAACAGTGATCAATGCTTACATACATTTCTTAGTGCTTATATGAATAGAAAAAAGGTCAGGGATCCTGGGGCTTTTCATCACATTTCTAGAACGGCTGTTTGAAAGAGTAATGGTATTTCTTCATGATAGTGAAGGTATTTAGAAATTGTTTAGTCTTAACTTAAAACAGCCAGGAAGATTTTTGCATAAGTTGTTTGTCAGGAGAGCTCTTGGTATTTCTAGGTTCTGTCTACCTTGTCTAGGTGATGCAGTCATGGTGGAATTCACTGTCAGATCCCTGCAGTGCACTCAGAGGTGAGTCTCTGAGCATGGACTAGTTTGAATGCCTGTGCTAAACCAGGCTGTGACAGCCCCTTGCAGACTGTACCCTTGGCACTATGCAGATCTAGCTTACTAGGGCCCCAATTGCCTTTACACAGTAATTCCCTGCCTGGAATGCCTTCAGTCCACTGATACTTATCCTGCATCACTGCCTGTGTTTTATATGGTGCTCTTGGCTCTAGTTCTTACTGTCATTTCTGTGTTTGTTAACAGGAAACTGTTGCTGCCATACAAGCTGCAGAAGAGGAGCAAAAAGAGCTGCTGCTACTTGAATTGAGAACTTCCAAAGATGCAGGTAGACATAAATTCAAGATGTTTCAATTTATTTTTTTTTGGAAAAAAATGTATTTTC